TTAGCTCTTCCACAGCACACTGGCCAAAGTGGTCCCTGAGTAGCGCAACTTAGCTCTTCCACAGCACACTCACCAAAGTGGTCCCAGAGTAGCCCAAAGTAGCTCTTCCACAGCAAACTGGCCAAAGTGGTCCCTAAGTAGCCCAGCTTAGCTCTTCCACAGCACACTGGCCAAAGTGGCCCCTCAGTAGCGCAACTTAGCTCTTCCACAGCACACTGGCCAAAGTGGCCCCTAGCGCAACTTAGCTCTTCCACAGCACACTGGCCAAAGTGGTCCCTGAGTAGCCCAAAGTAGCTTTTCCACAGCACACTCACCAAAGTGGTCCCTGTTCACCAAAGTCATCCCTGAGTAGTTCAACGTAGCTCTTTGACAGCACACTCACAAAAGTAATCTCTGACTAGTTCAACTTAACTCTTCCACAGCACGCTCGCCAAAGTGATCCTTGTTCACCAAAATATTCCCTGAGTAGTCCAACGTAGCACTTCCACAGCACATTCACCAAAATGACCTCTAAGTATTGACACCACATTCACCAATCTGATCCCTGAGTAGCTAGACCTAGCTTTTCCACAGCAAATTCACAAACTGATTTCTAAGTAGCTCATCTTAGCTCTTCCACAGCAACCACAGTTCTTAATAGCGCAACTTAGCTTCTCCACAGCACATTTACCAAAGTGATTCCAAGGTAGTTGTAGAGTTGCAATGTACTTATCAAGCCAACAAAAGCTGCGTTTTTATCACCCGTAGGCCTGTCGGTTGTTAGGTTTTTTAGAACTTCGGACTTCAGTACGCCCGGTCGCCCAACTTAGCTCTTCTATAGCACACTCACGAAGTGGTCTCTGAGTAGCCCAACTTAGCTTTTCCACAGCACTCACCAAAGTGGTCCCTGAGTAGCTTAGCCCTTCCACAGCACACTCACCAAAGTAGTCCGCGAGTAGCCGAGTAGCCCAACTTAGATCTTCCACAGCACGTTGACCAAAGTAATCCTTGAGAAGCCCAAAGTAGCTTTTCCACAGCACGTTCACCAAAGGATCCCTGACTAGCCCAACTTAGCTCTTCCACACCACACTCGCCAAAGTAATCCCTGAGTAGCCCAACTTAGATCTTCCACAGCACGTTGACCAAAGTAATCCTTGAGAAGCCCAAAGTAGCTTTTTCACAGCACGTTCACCAAAGGAATCCCTGACTAGCCCAACTTAGCTCTTCCACACCACACTCGCCAAAGTAATCCCTGAGTAGCCCAAAGCAGTTCTTCCATAGCGCACTCACCAAAGTGATCCCTGAGTAGTTCAACGCAGCACTTCCACAGCATGTTCACCAAAGAGATCCCGGAGTAGCCCAAAGTAGCTCTTCCACAGCACGTTCCCCAGAGTGATCCCTGAGTATTCAAGCTAGCTTTCCACAGCACGTTCACCCAGGTGATCTCTGAGTAGCCCAAAGTGGCTCTTTCACAGCACGCTCGCCAAACTGATCCCTGTTCACCAAAGTAATCCCTGAGTAATTCAACGTAGCACTTCCACAGCACATTCACCAAAATGACCTCTGAGTATTCACACCACATTCACCAAACTGATCCCTGAGTAGCTAAACCTAGTTGCCTAGCTCTTCCACAGCACATTCACAAACTGAGTTCTAAGTAGTTCAACTTAGCTTGTCCACAGCAACCACAGTTTTTAGTAGCGCAACTTAGCTTCTCCACAGCACATTTACCAAAGAGATCGCAGGATAGTTGTAGACTTGTAATGTACTTATCAAAGCAGTTTTTTCCCCACCCGTAGGACTGTGGGGCTGTTAGATTTTAAGAACTTTGGACTTCAGTAGACTCGCTACTTCTGCACATCCACCAGAGTGGTCCCAGCGTAGCTCAGAGCAACCCAAAGAACACAGCACATCCACCAGAGTGGCCCACAGTGGCCCAGAGTAGCCCTTACACAGCACATCCACCAGAGTGGCCCCGAGTAGCCCAGCGTAGCCTTTACACCAGCACATTCACCAGAGTGCTCCCAAGTACCAGTTCCACAGCATATCCACCACAAGTTGACTTGGCAGGGATGCGGGGTTGCCAGGCATTAAAATATCGAAGTTCAGAAACCTCGCAAGTAAGTACTCGATGTGTGGTTTTGTTTTCAATAAAGAATCCTTTTCGCGCCGAACCGCTTTTCTCTTGTGAAGACCAATTCTTTGAGGGTGGGGAATTTCGAAGTAAAGTAATTTGGTAGGCAGTGTGGGTCCGATGTGGATCAAGTTGCATAGCTCCACCCCGGTGGGACACCCTTCTCTTTGCCATCACTTCAAGCTGATCCAGGAGCAATGGCGCAGGCCCACGAGACGTCATTGAAGCGAGAAAAGACCACAAAGGACACAGACAGCAGCTATAGCTATAGCACGTGCTGGCAGCAGAATGCCTTTTTTCCCCTGTCACGTGAGTGCCTTTTTCTGAATGTCAGTGTCAAGATGTACCAGGTTATGTGTGAGCTGCAGTTCAGCAGTCCTTTCTGAAAGCCGTCCTGAAACCCAAAACCCAGGACCGGGCCCACAAAGAGAAGCTGGAACACTTCACAAGGATTGCTGGAATTATGAAGGCCAAGTTTAACAGCACGAGATCATGTGTCATGTGCCCTGTGCATATTGGTCTAACAGTTGTCATAGAATATCAAAGATCATAGTAATTATCTATCAAATGGTTGAGCTGTCTTCTTTCACACTCAAAGCACACGAGCATGCGTTGCAAGACTTGCTGAGATTTCACGTTGCATAAACTCGTTTTGGCATAAGCGAACCGTGGCATCAACATTGAGACTCCTACAAACGCTTGCACAGCGCTGGAGAAATTACAACTCCATTGTGTGGCAGCTCGTGCCAACTACCACTAGTACTCGTAGTAAGTTTCACTTAGTACCACCATATAGAGACTCTTCACTCCTGCAGCCCGCGTTCCGGCACAGGTGAACCCATCAGCAACCTTGCAGAACTTGGACCGGTGTCACTTAAACCGGTTGAAGATGTTGAAGGTGTATCAGGTACCAGGTACAACAGCTATATAAATCAATCAGATTTACCAGTAATCTCACTTGCGGAGAATTTAAAGGCGCTACTGTACTAAGCCGGTGTTGCAGAGCGGCCGATTGATGCAGGGTGAACACCAAACCCACCCATCAGACCCATCACCCAACGGAATCGGAGGATGTTCATCTTGGGGAAGTCCATTCATGCACTGCAAATTCCAGGTTTGCTACCCAAAGCTGATGCATCTCGGTATTTTCGCGCGACAATTTGACATAGGATTCTCGGATTCGGGACATTTGGCCAGGCATGGCAAGGTCCCTCCCAACGAGCGCACCAAGCGAGAGAGATCTCAGCGTGCTGAGGAACTGAAGTTGAGGTTGCGGGAAGCAGACGACACCGACATGAAGGTAGGGCTTGTGGCGTCACCATCGCATTTTTTCAGGGCCAAAAGATCTCAGTCATGCTGGCTACCAGCGAGAAAGGAAACACATACAGATGTGGAACATGGATCACCAAAAATGACCATTCCAGATGACAATGCCATCAATATGAGCCACAACAACAACACTAAACACCGAAAAATACAGGAACATAAGGAACATCTAACAGTCACACATCAGATTTGGGAAAGAAAGACTCTTTGAACCAAACCTCTCTTCCAACGCTTCAACTGCCCACCACGGCCCGCTCTTCTTCCTCGTGAGGTGCATCATGAGGCACTCACGGAGACGCAAGACGAGGTGGAGGACCGGAGACGACTGACTGGTGGAGACAGGACCAGCGCTAAGGACCATGAAGGTATGGTATGGTATGCAAATGCCATGTGGATTTGGAGGCAAAGATGAAAAATCACCATCTTGCTTGCACCTGAGACCCCCTTAGGACCACTTGGAGTTCATTACGTCCCTGCAGCTTCTCAACCAGGCCATTCCGTTGACTCTGTGAGCATAGGCCTAGGCATTGGAGGGGAATCAAAACATGTCACGGCACATGAAGAGCATAAGATGTTGGACGGATGTGATGTGAATATTCCTTTGCATTTGACAAACCCGCCACAGTGCAACATGCAATGGAAGCTGTTCTGAGGGTGGTTCAAGAAGACCTGGTATCTATAGATATATCATATCTAGTTCTTTATGATGGGAAGGCACAGGCCTCACCAGCAACTCGCCAGCCATATCTCGCCAGCCATTTCATGTTGTGTTTTTGCATTTTGACCGCCAAACCATCGTCCCATCTCCAGGCAATGAGAGGTCGTGAGCTGCAGAAGTGGAAAGCCCAGGAGCCCGACTCGGGAACACACAGGTCGGTGCCCAAGAAGACTGTGTAAGTCTGGAACTATTAGGGTTAGGGTGACATCAGGTTGGTATGCCTTCCATGTCCCAAGTAGCTGAAGTTGTTTTCGCATGTCTTTGTTGTTATTGTTCGGTGGGGGATCACGCAGCAACCGCGGTTGGTCCGATGCCCATTTTGCAGGAGTCAGTAATGCAGATGTTTGCCACAAGATGTTTGAGCACAATTTATGCTTGGATGATCTCTGCGTCACTTTGGCCAGACATTGGTGCTCAGCCATTGCAGGCCCACTAAGCCAGCCTGCGTTGGTGCGAAACGTTCAAGAAACCAGAGGACCCAAGACAACTGCAGTCAGTGACGACCGCAGATTTTGCGAAGGCTTTGTTTGCACCTCCCTAGCTGCAGGAGCCCTCAGGTGCTTCACGCGTGCAACAGACTGTCACCCAGTCTCAGGGAAGGATGACATGTGTTTTTGTTGTTTTTTCCTCCCCCGACTCACCCAGAAAGGAGAGCCCAGCATGTCACGTCCGAATCGGCGTCCAGACGGTCACCGCCGCCAACCCGGTCGCCTGAGGTTCTGGTTTGAAATCCTCAAGAGAGTGATCATCGCCATGGACCCGGAATTGGCAGGGGATGATATATCAGAGACCTTGAAGGATTGGAGAGCTTTCGTGGGACTCTCGGCCGCATGCGTGATGCTGCCTGCCGACGCTGGCAGCAGCGGACGGCATTTGTTCCGTGCGGACGCGGCATTTTCAATGGCGATCAATGGCATTCTTTTTCTTCAAACGGCCCGCGGCTGCTTCCGTTCGTCGATACTGTGACACATGGTCACACTGTTACCGTTTGCCGAGCTGTAGTTACCAAGCAATTTTTGGCAGAACCGGTTGTCAAAGTCTCCTGCAGGTATTTTCTAATAGGATTTTGGGGAGCGCCCTGGACCTGATTTGATGTGTGATGACATCCAGCAGTGTGTTTCGCCACAACATGCCAGAACCAGTTGTTCCCTTCCCCAAAATGTAAAGCGCTACCTCCATACTGTGGTCTACAGTTTTCTTCCCCTTGATCCACCTTAGGAACGGGTACAGCAGGTTGGGAACTAACAAAAAATTATGTATCAGGAGGTACACTAGATCATCACCAGAATTAGTTGATGAATCAATAAACCGAGTTGAAGAGTCATTGAGCAACAGCAGTCAGGCGTCGAAACTTCGGGAGGTTCACAGGAAGATTGGCTGTACACCTTTGTGCCCACCATTCACTGGCGCGTAAACACGGGAAAGGGCATCTAGCGACGCATCTATTTGCAATCCTTGACTGTTTTGATCCTTTTTTTGGGTCAATGGGGTGAGTTGCCAAGCTTCCATGCAACCAGAGGCTTCAGGCAGCTTCGCCGGCAGAGCGCGAACAGACTGCGGCAGAAGACGAACCCCATCTCTGTTTCCCCCCCGCCGCGCAGCCGGAAATGCCCGGAGGGTATTAGAACTGTCCGTGGAACTGTCCACCCACACCGACCAAAAAAGGAGTTTCTTCGCGAAAGGTGCATACAGGAACAGTCGTCAATCACACTAAGCAACGAAGAAGTTTTGGCCCCAGTCGCATGAAGAGTACACGTCCAGGACATCCCAACCCCAAAACAACATTCAACAAAATTCCCTTGTGGCCGTGGCCTTAGGGCATACAGTCATCAACAGGAACTGAAAAGGAGTCTTGATCACCCATAGCCGCGAGACAAGATCTTGAAGAAATGTCCATGTACAACCCACAAGCGCAAGCCTGATGTCAAACCCCATGAAATGGAGGTGCACAGGCACAGCGGAGCGCGCCGGAAGGTTTGGTCCTTCCTGGATGGCGCTGCACATCCCACTCCGCAAATGGCGTCCCAGTGCGCGCCGTGATCGTCACAAGACCATCCAGCACTAGTCCCGCGGCACACACCGAAAACACACGCATATGTCCCACAACATCACAGCATTATGCACATCCTTCTACTTTCAAACACAAAGAAGCCTGACACTGACTTTCAGAATCCACACTTCTTCATCACGAAAGCTAGCAGCAGCTAGCTGGAGTTGTTCTTGCTTTAGCAAGTGAGGGGCCTGCATCGCGTGACAACTTTATATGTACGGGGTGCCCCCCTCCCGCAGCTTCAACTCCTCCCTGGGGCGTCTTTGGGATGTGTGTTTTTCCGCTGGCATAGTGGGCCATAGTGGGCCGACTGTAACCCGCTTCACCCCCGCCCTGCTAGCTTTCGTCACCGGCCTCAAGTTCCATCTTGTGCCGAAGCGCTTGGCTCCACAACTTGGTAGTTTCTTTGCCAAGTCGCCTTTCAACTGCACTTTCTTCAACAACATCTATTAACATAATGTTAACATGTCATTTATGAACCACGAGGCAATAATAACAAGTTTTTTGGCCTGCCAGGATTTTGCAATACTACTTTTAATTGCGCCAACATCCAGACCCCAAAACTGAAAAAAAATGTGTTCAGAATGCCTTCTCTCTTCATTGTGTCTCAGAATGCCTTCTTCTCCTTCTTCTCCTTTCTTCGTTTGTTTTCTTCTTTTGTGTGTTCTCTTTTTGTTTAATCTTTGACCATATATATATATACACAATATGCCTATACGTATATCAATGACTATATATATATATACATACATTTTTTCACCAAGTGTGTTAGTGTTTGTTTTCAGCCCCTTATCACGGGGCAGAGGCGCAATGCGCTTCGGCGTCGTCAAAACTCCGTGGTCCTCAGGATACCTTATTTATGCGCCTTGATGGGCATTTTCAGTGGGATGAATTTGGTCGAAGAAGGTTCGTCTTGCACTCCTGGCCTGCGGCCGTTTTGGCCAACAACACTCCCGAGCGTGGAGACTCCACCGAGCGTGGAGTCCGTGGAGGGACTGTTTTTGTCGCCGAGTCTCCATCCGTTTTGCGCTCTCGAGAGGGGGGGTTGTTTGCAATTCTCGAATAAAAGCCTGGAAACCCACACCACACGATGAAATGTTTCAGAGTTTTGGAAGCTCCGGAGGCTTGGAATTCCACTGCCTTCATTCCCACTGCTGTCTTCACAAGTGTCCAAATTGTAAAGTGATGAACTTATGCCTTGTCAGAGACTCTGAAAGCAGTGGGTGGGTTGAGTACTACGCTTTCAAAACCAAAGAACACAACTGGATTCAACTGGACTTGGTGAAGGAAAGCGCCACCGCCTCATTCTTATCAGTTTGTCCTGCTGAAGGAATCCTTGTTCGTAGGAAGGGGTAACCACCTCCGTTTTGGTTAAGCCACTGCAGAGCCTTGGATTAGAACACATGATTTCTTAGAATCTTAGAACACATCATTCTGTTGATGACTACCCACCCTTGCAACTGGCAAGTGAAAAGACGACTACAAACAAAGACATGTTTATCAGTGAACGGGTCTAGTAAAGGACTTCCTCATTTCAGGTATGTGTTTTTCCTGAATTCATCCTACTCTTTTCCTAAGCTGTCCAGATACCCGATACTGATGTGTTTTGAACCTGGAACTGGAATCCCCATGGGCACCCCTTCATGCCTTGGCTCGGACGTCGTCAGGCTGTGCTTGCCTGGCTGTTGGTTCCCATTATCCAATGGAAGATTCGACTCTTGGCCCAAAAACATCAATGTTACTAGTAGCTTCTTGCTACTAGTTACTAGCAGTAGTGGCCTCCAACTTACTGCGATGGCCTCCACCTAGTAGCTTCTTGTTCCTAGTAGCGATGGCCTCCAACCTACTTGAGATGGCATCCACCTAATAGCGTCCTTGTTACTAGACCTCTGATAAGGAGACATCAAGAAGCGCAAGCAGCCTTGTGCTGCCTTGTGGTTGGCCTTGTGCCCTCACTCTAGGATTCTTCACTGAGCAGTCTCCACACAGCCATCTCTCGATGCTTCGACATCTCCAGATGATGGGACCAGATCTTACCCGACGGGACCGTGCGCGGTCAGGGCTGGAGCCCAGGTGAGTTTGATGACAAGGAGGACAAGTATAGCCGCCTCCATGCCGCCGTAGATTTGCAAGCACCACGGCCTTGTCCTGTCCTTTGAAGGTCCCAAGAAAGAGCTGTTCCGAGCCTGACATGGCCTACTTAGAGCTGGGTAAAGTAGGAGACTGGATCCGATCAGGTTCCGGGTGCTGCATGTCAGCATGATAGGTTAGTGCTGCTCCTGTCATTCTCGGTGAGTTTTGACGGATCAAAACACATGGAGGATTTGGAGGACATGGCACCTCAGCACCAGCTCCGGCACCAGCTCCTTCCCCTACAGATGAGGCCAAAGCAATGCCGATGGTTTTGGCTTGGGCCTTCAAAGATGCTTGTCTACCCTACCCGATTATTTTATAGTGTGCGCGGAGGTTCCAGCCGTGTGCTCCGGGGCGCACTTGACCCAGTTTTGGCCCAGCAGAGGTGATTCTCACAGGGTTCCACGTGCTTTCCCTGTTCGGATGTTGTACGCATCACCCTGGAATGCAAAGAGCCTGTGAGCGGTTGGGTTATGGATTGGCTTTGTCTCAGTTACCATCAATTACCCGACTTTGTTTGTTGAAGCCACAGCTATCCTACAAAGGGTCGTTTCTGTGGTTTTGTGGTTTCCGCTCTGTGCAGAAGATCGTTTGGTAGGTGCTTTTTTCGACACCACTATACTCATACTCATACTCAGACTCTGTTTTTGGGCCATACGGCACCATACGTTGCAACGACGGAACATCCCGGAGGTTCCCCCGGACAATGTCCCGACCTGATGTTCCACCGTCCACACCGGCCCTTGGAGACGGACGGAAAACGGCCCAGCACACCCACTGCTTCGGCGAGGGAAACGAAGCTCCTCGCAGGGACGGCAAAGGGAGGGTCGAATCTGACGGACTCGTGCCTGTGAGGTTTCATCTTCTAGGACTACAATTCCATGAAAGAAATGGATGACAGATGGGCACTAAGATTTTTAGGAGGCCGGGCCTGGCTAGCCCAGGATGTGGTGCAGTACTTTCTGCAATGGACTGATCAGGCGGGCCATCTTTTTTGCGGGGGCAGGAACCGGACTTCGTGCGCGACTCAAGGGCAAACAGATCGATGCAACAGCATGATAGTTTGTGAACATGTTGTACACAACATGTGTATATATGAGCAACCGCCACAACGTGCACTGACTGATTTAGTAAACCTTGCTGAACCATGTCCTCTACCTCTACTTGACAACACGTTTTGGCAGACGCTTACAGTATAATATGTATATGGGTGGGGTATGCACATATGTTATCATATGTTTAGTATTGGCATTTCATTGAAACGACGGTATTGTACGTTGCAGCATTCCTCGGCACCCCCTGGCAGTCGTGCACTTCCACTTGCAGAAGAGATGCAAAACAACAGATCATCGAAATGACATGTTGGCAACCCGAGATGTCAGCACGTCAATCAGTACCCATCCTGAAAACTGGTAGAACAAAAAGAACACAGCGGCAAAAGCTGCTACACGTTTCTCACACGGCCGGGCGGCCCGGCTGCTACAGCACTGAGTTTGAGCATCTGACAGGTCCTTTGGGACGAGATCGTGGTGAGCATTGTAGTGGTCACTTGGCCTGATCGTCAGGTCTTGGACATCACGACCCGTTTGGAAGCGAATGAATGTGTTATTAGCGGATTAAATGTGTTGAGAACTATCTTGCGGAAGTGTGGGGGTTCCACAAACATTCCACTGCGGTGCCTTGTGGTGCTTTGCGGTGTCTCTTGAGCTTTCACTATCAGGCATCATGATACACAGCATGTGCGCATTTCTTTTTCGTGATCATGCCCCAGTCGTCTTGTTGATGTCCAGTGTGGGTCCAACAACAATAGGTCCAACCACTCAATCACACGACAGTCACGACAGTATATAGATCCATGCAAAATTTCAACCCAAATGTGTCACCCTGGCCGCCCTGCCCCCCCTTCATTGGAACCGTTTCAGTCCAGGTTGGGAGAGTGGAGTTGAAAGAAAGGTCCCTCACTGGTCACCCATCCAACATGTTGGGACAACGAGGCTTCGGAAGGTCGGGAAGACTTTGTATGGCTGAGTGGTCTCACAACGTCATCAGATGCCCTTCGAACATGGAAGGGAATCGGTCAAAGCAGAAGCTCCAGGAACACCACGGCCCGGCCTTTGAATTGGGATCCCCATGGCTCTGCACTCCGCTGCCACAGTTTCAGGTGCTCTTCGTGACAGCAGCCACTCACTGTCCACCTGTGAAGAGGGCCAAAAAGCAGGTGTCCAGCAAAGAAGGCCAGGGTCATGGCATTGTGGTCCGCTGGACATCACTCTCGACATGTTAAGTTATAGTGATCTGCATTCGGTATTCCCCTGCAGAATGCCAGTCTTCGCTGGAAGATCACCGGTGGTGAAGCGGTCCAGTTCTGTGCACCAACCAGTGCACCTGGTTGGTGCGCTGTCTCGCAGCTGCAGGTGATTGGAACACCCTGAAGAATCGATATTTGCACCTTGGCGACCCGCGACCCGCTAGTAGGTGGAAAGATGTGGGGCTTCCATACCGCGAAGTCGACGTCATGGCTCAGTTTCGGTTAGGAGCCAAGTCACTTCTAGCTGGAAAGTCCGTCCAAGAGAGAGGTGGTGAAGTTCTTGGCTTCATTCGAGCAGGCGTGAGTACTTGTAAATCTCCTGAAACCCCGCCATGCAGTACATTATTAAATGTGTTTTTGCCATTGTTGAAAACCGGAGTAGGCATTGCAGAAACTGTTCTTGATGTCTTCCAAGATGGTGAATTCCTTGGCCCCGTTTGTGGTCTTCAGATGTTTTCAGCACCTGTGGTGTCCAGGAATTTACCCTCCAACATGCTGCTGGGTGCCGGATATTCCATCAATCAGGTTGCTTCTTGGCAGGATTTGACGGAACACTTGGAAAGTTCATCACCATGATTGGAGGGGCAAAGCACCTTGAATTGAAACCTGGGGGCATTGGGTTGGACTTGGGGGCCCGATGCAACGGAGAAATCAGAGCCGCATGCTTCAAAAAATCGACGCCCTTAGTAACTTAGAGGAAACTGAACTTGGAGTCCATACAATCCTTGCACAGATTGATCACAACTGCTTCCTTCTTTGCATCTTCCAACCGGCCTCATCCGCATGCTTCCTCGTTTTAAAGAAATGCCAGACCTCGCCCCGCCAAGGCCTCCTTTTGCGTGAAGTGGTTGTCGCAGAACGTGCTGCCGCTGGTAGATAAAGAAGAGGAATTGACGGTAGGTGATTGAGTCTGTTTTGAGCATGTTTAAGCGCGTTATATTTATAATATATATGTGACATGTGTGTGTTTGAGTTGAAGCCCATGATGCGTGATGACTCGAGGGTTTGGGAGTCGGACTTTTGTCAGCTGATTTTGCAACTCAAGATGGTCTCCCACAGGCCGCTGGACGCAGGTTTTCAAATTGTTTAACCATGTTAAAGCGAATATGTATAGGATAAATATAGTTGTTTCACGGTGACGGTGACTGGTGTTGCGATGTCATTTGCTTTCATGGAGCATGGCAAAATGATGCTTCACGAGTGAGGCATGGTGGCACGGCATGTGGTGGTTTGTTTTCGCGAAGTGCAAAGCAACCATTTGTGATGTGATGAAGCGTCAATACTTTTTGTGACTTGTGCTGTGTTGAACAGCAAAGGGGTCATGTGGGTGGGTGGGTGGGTTGGTTGATAGGTCGGTTTTTGTTTTGCTGTTGCTTAGTTAGCTTGTTCATTTATGTTATATTGTTGTTATTGGTCGGTTCGTTGTTTTGTTTGTTTTTGTTGCTTTTTGTTTCTTTGTTTGTTTGATTGTTTGCTTGGTGTTCCTCATTTGTCCTTCATCATTTGTTGTTCTTTGTTATATGGTTTATGTTTGTCTCTCCTGTTCCTCTCATGCATGGCGCTCCGCAAAAACCTCCGCAAAACCAGCTCACACCCACGAACGGGCAAAGCGACGGGTGTGGCGATTGTCCTGGCCTCCACCCTAGTAGCGATGGCCTCAGTCCTGTCATAGCACTGGCAATGGTTCATAAGATGTCATGACTAGTTGGGCTAGTGAACTGCTAGCAAACTTAGGTCTACACATTGTGAAAAAACCTTTTTGCAGCCACCAATGACAGTCCTCTCCATCGATGACCTGTAGGCCGAACTGGCCTAGCAACTGCTGAGGTCCAATTTGCCTACAATTGCTTCATCAGTGTTGCAGGCATCTACCGCCATCATGCCTTGCCGATTTGATTTGCGCGTTGTTTGTCCGCATAGAAGAACAGAAGACGTGCATGCCATGGGTTGTTATGCTTTTGCATCAGCTACCAGCACGGTCAGACAACCATTGTCCTTCTTTGCTTTTGCCTGCAGGGTGAACTTTGGGCTGTCGAAGGTCAAAACGAGCCCCGTTCGTTATAGTTTTCTTTGATTTGACAGACGCCTCTCATTGAAAGAGAGGCCCATGGCTCGGCATCCCTATTCTTCTTGTTCTTCGGGCATTGGAATTGCAAGTGGCCTGTTCAATGACGTACGTTGGTCCTTCCCTGCTGCCAGTTGGTGTTCCAGCTCATCTACTTTGCAGGGATGTCACATGCAGTTCTGAGGCCTGTTTTTTTCTTTGTCTTTTTTGACAACGCTCCAGCACACTCTCACTCAAACATTTCTGGGAGCATGAATTCTGTCATTATTGCGGGCAGTGTGCTACTCCCGCACATTAAGTACAACTTTGCTCGTGTTTCGGATTGTTTGATGCTATTAGCAAGCAAGGATGCTAAATGTAAAAGATTTTGTGGGTTTTGTTTTGTGGCACCCTCTCATTCTAGAGAACCCATTTTCAGGCCCAGCTTCGTTTCGGCAGTCTACGATCCGCTTGGCCCTGCATCCCTTGGAGGCTCGATGCGCATTATCAACGGAAGAAGAGCCAACGGGCTAAGTTGATTGAGGAGTCCCTTGGCGAAACAGAAAGCCCGCCTTCGGCGAAACAGGAGACGCCCCTGCGTCCGAAAGCCGAGCAAGAACCCCGTTGAGTCGTATGAGTGTGTGTGTGTGTGTTTGTTTCCCACCCCTCAGGTGAGGGTTGATACACTCTGGAAGACTAACATGGAACCTGAAAAGCACTGGTTTGTAGAGGAACATGTCCTCCTTCTCCTCCGGGGCGCGGATCTCAACGGCAAGCGCCAGATCGCAGTGGGCAGTGTCGGACCTCAACAGCAAGTGCCTATTGCCAGATCGCGGTGGGTACTACCGGGCCGCAACACACAACACTCAAGACAACTACAAACACACAATACTCAAACACAAGCCACAACCACAACACACAACCACAACCACAAAAACACAACCACAACACACAACCACAACACACAACCGCACAGCCACAAACACACAACCACAAACACACCACCACCACCACCACCACCACCACCACAACAACAACAACCATATGAGCCACGGTCAAAACATGCGAAGACCACTTTAGTAAAGAGGGGTAGGTTTGTGCACAAAACCCTGCAAAACGATAAGGTCCACCTCAAAATCGATAACCCCAGCGCTGTATATGATCATAAGTATGCGACGAACTCAAAACACTGTAAAACGATAAGGTCCAACTCAAAACCGATGACGTCCATTTTTTGTTGAAGAAGAATAAGGAGTTTTGACCGTCCCTCATATATATTTTATTCATGTTTATTCTATAATTACTTGTGTGTGTGGCATTATGCATGGCAGGTGGTCACAGGGTGCCAACTGGACACCCTGGCGGCACACCGGCTCGAACTCCCTAAGGCTAAAATAACAATCCCAAACCCGAGGAGCCACAAGCAAAATCTAAAACCACAAAACTCACGACCATGGCAACATGCTCCTCACCATGGCATGAAAACAAATGATTGACATGTCATGGTGGGGATCACTCGAAGTAAGGTAACTTTTTCTCATGACGGATCGGTGATGGTGGAAATGGCTTTGATTTAGATGAGGGCCAGTGTTTGTTCACTTGATCAATGTCCAACATCAGGAATGCATAACATTCCTAGTGCTTTCTGGGGACATAAGTTTTGTGGGGCTGTCCATTGGTGGTCACTTGGAAGCATCTAGTTGGTGTATATAGATATATACTTAGTTTTCACATGTTGTACATTACTAATATCAAATGTTTGATTCCCCACCTTTGCCACAAATCGGTGAGGGTGTTGGTCAGGGAAGATGTGTGCGTCCAATTGTTGGTTGCGACCCGTTTTGCAATTACTGTGAGTATTGGAGCATGGCACGAGTAAACCTGCAGCCGCACCCGTCAATCTTTTTCAGGCAGAAGTTTGTTTTCGCGCAGTGCTGGCGCTGAATGTTGGCACATGCGCTGACAGGTATGAAAATGATCACGAGTTGACCGCGCATGAAGTGAGCCGCTTCGAAATGGCATCTTGGTAGTCCTTTTTTGTTGTGGGGGGGAGTTGAGGATAGCCTAGGACGTGGGCGACCTGATGAGTTCAGATCCCAAATATCGCCATTAGAGTATGTAGTTGGAGATCTTGGATGCTGTATATAGTGTACCGTGCATACTGGGGAGCCTTTACATGAAACCAAAATGCGAAACGAAACCAACCAAGCGAAGGCTACAGTGATGTGCCAGTTGGCTTTTGCCGAACGTGGACAAACCTGCGCTGTGCCAACAGAGGGTAGGATTCTCTCAAATCCATTCTGTGAGGACAGATGCCTGTTAGTGGTCAGAAAAGTCATGCATGTCATTTTCACAAGAAAGGAGTGGAATGAGTGTGGCATTGATACAGCTCTCAGGTTCCTCCATTTTCCAGGCTGTCCACTGTACCCGTTTTGTGATTTTGCTAGGTTTCTCCCTTTCTAGACACTCGTCTCGTACCCTGTTGGGCCTTTTGAGGTGCTAAAACGACTTCATGAAAGCCTTCAGGTCGTGTGCTGAAGGTGTCACAGTTGTGAATCGGTGCTCACCACCTTGAAGCGCCCAAGGAACTCAAGATGGCCAGCAACTTGGGCGACACCTTGACTCACTCCCTGGCATTTGTTTATGGCTGGGGCATCAGTGATACCTTGAAGCTCCTCGGAAGTAAAAGTGAGATCTTTGTCCACTGCCAATGGGGAGGCCACCAAGGCCTGAGGTGGGGCAAACGCCAGGGTCATGGATCATGTCTCTTCAGGTGCCCAGATTAAACCACGCCGCGATCAACACAAACATATGCAAACCTAGCATGCATTGCTTGGTTGAGAAGATGAGAAAAGGTTCGAGACCAAAGCTTTCGCTATCATTTTGACCGTGTTGACTTTGGCAGAGCCCAACGCTATTCAGAATCTTACTTGTTGGGTTTTTCACTAATGTTTGTGTTCTTGCCTTTTACTCTTGCCTTTTACATGTCATCATCAGTACACAGTGACGAGGTGGTATGGCTGGAGCCCAGAAAGGTTGTCCATGCAAGTCCGGTGAATTGCAAAGCCTAGTTAAGGAGTTCTCCCCCTGAATCAACAACCCCCCCACAGCATCCCACAGCCCTTGCTGGATAGCCTTTAGCAACACAAAGAGGTCCCGCATCACGATGACATGAAGTTTGGCAAAGATGGTGCTTCCCATGCAGCAACATCTATAGATACCAATTGTATATTCATTTGTAGATATTCCTAGTTTCCGGTGAAATCCAGGTTCCATGATCCAAACGCCATGGGTTTTCGTGCCCCAACAAAAGATCCTTTCTCCGCCGGTGTTTGTGGCGGTTTGGCCTTCCTGCCCTCTCAGTGTGCTCTACTACGCCTTTTTCATGGGCGACTTGGTCAGGGAGAGCGCCCGTTGTCTTTCGGGGATTGGGAACCGTTGCCTGTGGTATATAGAACCATCCGGTCTATGGAACCATCGGTTTGGTGTTCTTTTCTTGCTGATCGCAAACATATGCAACCATCCGGTCTTGCGATGGTGGTTCGAGCGGAGCGGAAGGGCGATGAGAAGGGCCATGAGCGTTCTGCTTTCAGCACGGGAAGAGTGAGCAGGATGTAGAATGTGGGCAATGTGGGCAACTAATGTGTCTGGGCCTGTGAAGACGAGCATCGAAAGGATCTTTGAATCCTCACTGAGTGATTTGCTTAGCAATTGCTAGGAAGACCGAAGCACTGTAACTTACCCCCTAGACAAGAACTACAGGCCCAAGCCTCCTGCGTGCCAGCAGCGACCTTTTTACTCTCGCAACCCTGGTGTGGGGAGAACAGCGACCTGAACCAGCACAGCTCAACCAGCCGTAAGAATCTTCCACCTTCAAATTCTGTTTAAAGCTCTCAACGAATAGACACCCCGCGTGAAAAAGAAAGGAGAGCGGGCGGGGTCAAAAAGAGAGAGAGAGAGAGAGACAGACCACTACAGTCAAGCAAGAATGCATGAGCAACTCCACTTGACTGACCTCGAATCCATGGAAACGGTTACTGGTCAACCAACCCGAAAAGAACATGTCATTGCAAACAAATTCCATTCGTTCTGTGCTCCCGAGTTGCTCGCATATTGAAGTTTATATACATTGAGCAAGGCCAGGGTACCTCTTCGGGATGCTTGGCAGAGGCCTTTGTTCTTCAGCAATCCAGCTTGCCAATCACAAAGCTACATCGCTTGTGAGAGAAAGTGCAAGCAAGAGGGCCACCTCCTTCCCTTCCCTTCAAGATCCACTGGTTTTTGTGCTGGATATTATGGAATTCAGTCCCCCTCGACACCAATGATTTTGTGATATTCGATAGATGACATACATCCACATGTCTACTACTGTACCCTTTTCACTTTGTGTGGAGCTGCTGTTTTGAGGCTGCGAAACCTACACAAAGCCCACTCGACAGCAAGGGACAGTGACCGGATGACCCTGTCGCAATGGCGGTCGGGACAACCAGGTGTGGAAGCAGATTGTGGAAGCAGATAGACTCGGGAGTCGGGAATGGAGCCGGGGGTATCCGAAATTTTCGTTTAAACCTGGAGCCAACTAGGGAGTTCTGTAACAACTTGCTAGCAATACGACTGTTTTTGATATGATTGCATTTCCAGCAATCCTCTGATTTGAAGTACTCATTTGATTCAGTGAATATATAGTCCGATCTTGTGTCCCACTGGCAATATTTTTAGAAAGGGGCCATGAGGTGCTCCAAATTGAGGAACCATGAGTACCTTATGACACCTTGGATTTGAAGATCCTTTTCTTGCAAAAAGGCTTTGCAGTTATGAGCTTGCCGTTCTCAATGTCAGGGCGTAGGATTCCCACACCTTCTATAGTGTGCGCTGGACTATTCGCGAAGCCAGCACCTGAATTATCCTGAACTACCAGCTTGGCAATCTAAGCCACACAAACATAGGAAAGCAGGTTTCAAGGCCTGATTTGGAGAAGCACGGAGAAGCATTGTCATGCCGAAAAGCACACATGCTGCTGCATCAGTTTGTCATGGCCTTGTTTCCTGCTTATGTTGTGTACTTGAGTGGCTTGGAGCCCAGCCATTTTCCCAAGAGTGACCCATGAGTGACCCGTAGACCCTGCAGTACCTAGGGAAACATAGGCATGTTCCTCATCGCAGTGGTGGATCCTAGGTGTACCTATCAAGAGGTTTGGTACTATGCGATTGTCGTCACCGGTGTCCTCGGAGACTTGGAGGAAGTCCAGGAAGTCCAAGACGAGTTGAGTGGGGGGCTGTGGGAGCAGGAACTGCAGACCATGGCAGACACCTATTGAATCCTATTGAATGGAACCTATTGAGGGCTATTGACACCTTGTACCATAGGCTCCCAGCCTCCCAGCTCCACCATCCGAGGATACTATATTCGGACCTTGAGCTCCTTGGCACGGACCGGGTGGTGGCGGACCCCGCGCGGCACGGACCGGGCCGTGTCACACGAGGCTCCCTGTGTTTCTTCAACGAGAACGATCCCACGATCGGTTCAAAGAGGCAACAGATCTCGAGAGCTTCTCCTTCAGATGTTTCGAGACGAAACGGTGTTTGTTTGCTTTTTTGTGTCGCCCACCCAGTGCTTTCGTTTTTTCTTGCACTTCCCAGTGCTTTTGGATGTGGAGTTGCCCGATGGAGACTGTTTCAAGAGGAATCAAGACGAATGATGTGATTAACCCAAATCACATCCTCAAGCGCTCACACTTCTGTCACACGTTGAGGGAGGTGTGGATATCCAAGCTCACTCAGGTCAGCAGCAGTACCGGAGCACTGCGAGCAGATCTTATCGGACTTTGATGATTACAGTGCTTTGAAAGGAATTGGGAAGTGATGGCCATTAGCGGCTGTAGGCGCTCCAATCTTCAATCTGCAAAGAGTATCCAGAAACAGCAAAAGAGCAGTTTGCATTAGTGGTCGCTAGTGAAATGTGATTGAGTTTGCACCAGCCTTCGACATGCGGGCGGCTTTTTGCGCAATGCGCCCCTCAAGCAAGGACCGGGGATTTTTGAAGTGATTTTTGACAGCCCATGTGAGATTTGTGTCCGGAGTTTTATTGCGAGAGCTGCAGCTCCAAGCTGTTTGGGTGGGGGTTGACTTGCTGCAAAAGCGGACGTGCCCAGCAGAGTGGCCAGCAGAATTTCATTCGGCCACTTCGACTGCCACGGTGTGATGCCGGTGACGGAGCGCCCAGGCGATGTCCTTGACGGTGGGATGGGCCTGGATGAACGTTTGCCAGCGTACCACCGACACCTTTGTCGATGCATGGAACGAGGTGACCTCGGATGAACATGAACTGGCTGAATGCTTGGTGATTGGGGAACATGAAAGGACCTCAAATGTTCACTGGTCAGTGTCAAAGTCTCTTTTGTAGGGATTGCGGCCGCGTGCCCGAGGCCCTCGTCACACATCTCATGGGGTCATGTAATTCATAATCGGCTTGGCCGAATGCTTGGTGTAGCAAACAGGGATGGAATGAACTACCGTGTTCGTCAGGTGCGGCCCAGCATTTGGACAAAACCCTTGTCCTATTTGTTCATGCTGATCTTCGTGTACATTTTGATGGTTGAGATCTATTTCCAGATGCTTGACGTGCCTCAACTTGAGAGGGAAAGGGGTCAATGTCAAGACACGATTAATAACCCCCCAAGAACAGGCTCCGACTGTTTTTGGAGAGGCCTGCGGCCTGCCCCAATAAAAAACAAAAGTACCAGCATGCAGCATTGAGCCACTAGAGTTCCTATAACTCTTCGTTAATCTTGTTGTCTCATCAAGCTGCAAGATTATCTCACAGAGGTGCAAATCATAGTGAATTCCGTACCCATGAAAGGAAAAGAAAGGGCAGGCAACAAGCCCGGAGGCGCAGGAAGGCTCGGTTGTATTAGGGTGGCATAAAACATATACAGTATATATAGGTTTGGCCGGAATCAGGAATGGGGATAACCCCCACTTGGTGTCTCTGAGCTGGTTGTCCTGGTTTGGCGGCAAACTTTGGGGAGACTAGAGGTTAAGTGCTCAAGAGTGCTCTTTCTTTGTGCGTTCGCGGTGTCATGTTGACGCTGGCCTTGCATAGCAAAAAAACAGAGTGAAAGTATGTGAAAGTCTTATAGAGATAGATAGGACAGTTGACAGTCGTGCTCGTATGACCGGATTGATGGGAAAACAATGAGTTTAAATCCAGGGTAGACAGAGATCCACGGAGGGAATCAAAAGAAAAGAAGCAAAAAGGCAAGGGGAGAAGAAAGAGCTTAGCAACAACAGACGATATGTATGTATATCAGTGAGGAAGGATTCGTTTGACGGGGGTTTCTGGAGTGAAAGTTGCCAGTTCAGGAGGAAATGTTGGTTGGGAATTAGCTTTCTATTGCTTGCCAACTCTTGTGGAAAAGTGCTTTGGTTAATGAGGGGAGTTGTATTGCATAACTGTACATTGCAAATTACGTCTCCTGCACGAGAATTTGCATTTAGGCAGCTGTTGGGATTTGGCTCGGAGATATTTATACAAGAGGGAATAGATATATAATATATACATATATATAATATATACATATTATATATATATAGATCAACACTATTCGGAATTCGTGCGTTGCCGACCCTATTTCACGGGGTGAAAGAACGGTGAGTACTAGTACTGTTCTTCTTGAGGTTCCTGATAGGCTTTAGAGCAAGATAACCGCTTCTGTGGCGCAAGCGCGTGAATGCCGGCCATCGTGGGCTGCGCTTTGATCCGATGTCCAATGTGAGACATTAGATCCCTCCGCCATTTGCAGTGCAGAAAGCATCAGAATCATTTCCTCGCATCTCGTACCTTGAGTTTGTCCTAGTACCTGTAACAGTAAGAATTCTTGAACAAGGCCTTTACTGACATCATCCACTGCTACAGGTAATAGGACAGGCCCAACTCGTACCATCTCGTACTTCCTGTTTAAGATAGGCCAGTGTTTTGGGTCATTTTGGGTGTGCAGTTTCTTCTTGAGGCAGCGCCCCTAAAGACTAGTAACGGGGTTAGGAGTGCGACTCTCGCGATTTGTGGGGGCTACTCGCGCTTCTCGTGTGCAAGGCTTACATGGGCCTTGCTTGTGCCAGTACTGTAATTAGGCAGAGGGTCGCAGAGTAGACTTCATGGAGTCGCCTAGTGGCCTAGTGACCAATGACCAAGGTTTTGTCGTGTCTCATCTCGCTTGCAATGCGTTGATGGTTTCCTACATGCTCTCTCATACGGGTTGTTTGTTGCATGTGGCTATATACATGAGCAGCAAGTCGGTCACCAATGGAAAGAACCGTCCCACTGTATCCCACTGTAAGGAAAAGAGTCTCACAATGAGTCGCTTCCAACAATTCCACGACCTCAGGAGTTGCGCTTCATCAAACGGGAACGAGACGAGTTTCACGAGGCCACGACTTCGGGCCCCCGCGGAAGAGTTACATGTGGTGTGTTCATTGACCACATGCTGAAGGAATCCCAACTAATGTAGACTTAGACGCTTGTTGAGAAGTGGGTAGAAGGAACCATTCACTTGCGACCCTTCATGTGGAGGCACATGCATTTTGAATCTGGAAATCCTAGTGTTCTTGGTATATTTACAGTTGTACACAGACATTATATATATATATACTATTACATCTGCCCTTTGACGGACCTCCTTTTTTTGCCAAAAGTGTGTGTGTGTGTCGCAGAAAAGGCAACCCATCATTATCGGGCGGTCTGAGTGACAATATCCTGCCGGGTGGAGATTTTGCTTCCTTTGCAATTTGCACCTTGCAGGCGTACCCAACCATTCCAGACAAAGAGTTCCTTGGCAAACGGGACAGGCCCAATGGGATGTGTGAAGAGAGGGAGAGAGAGGTGTCAAGAGGTATGCTGTTTGGGCTGCCTTTGGTGTGTTTGTTGATGCTTAAGACATGCTTAAGGAGTTTAATTTTTTTTGGCGATTTGCGTTTGGCGTCCTTGGGATCAGCAACCCAGCCACCAAGCAAAGGTAACTGGCTGGCGGAGTCAGGAATACTGCTAAGCCTTAAAGGAATTTAATCTATATGTACTATATAATACTTTATAATGTAGACATATGTAATAAACCACCCCTTTGAAGAGGATTTTCAATTCAATCGGGGGGGGGTAGTAATCAAGAGTCTACATTATATAATAACTATATATACAATCAGATTGCTTTTGGTGTGCCCAGCCAGGGCGAAGGTTGCGTTCTTTGTCAATAGCTAATGGGTGTTCCATGTTCCATCCAAGCTGTTCAGACGACAAACAGTTCAGACAAACGGTGTCCTTGGCTTCATTCAACCTACCCCAAAATGAAAGTGGCTGTCGAAGTTTCTTCACGTTATTTTGCGCTTCCTACTGATTTTGCAAAACCTTAATGGCATTCACGAGGAAACTGCCCCATGCCCCGAAACCGGGTCAGAAGATATGCATTATGTGGTGAATTTGGGTGCCAAAATTGTGTTTCTTTGGAGATCAAAAGCGTGCATTTTGGAGATCAAGCCAGCAGCTGGGCTCTACACTGTGGCCCAGTCGCTACCGGACTGACGACCCGGTTGTGTCTCAACATCTGGAGCGTACCAGTTCGCACCGAGGGAACGTTCCACCATCCGCAACTTGATGGAAAGTGACTCGGCCAAAAACAGATGAGCAAGTACATAGATAACGGGCACCAAGGTGTATTAAAGAAACACATTATTTTGTTGTATACTTTGGTACGTGTTACATTCTCGAGTGGCAATACAGATTCGTTGGTCACCGTACATGGCCAAACCCGCAGTTCCTTCTTTCACCCCGATCTTGGGATCCAAGAGCATGGATATGTTGGTTTATTGGGCAAGGCATGGCAAGGCATGGCACCTGTCAGGCGGTGGCCAAAGCATGATGGCTGACGCTGAAGTTCTTCCAGAGCGAGGATGGAAGTTTGTGCTGCATGGTTTTTGGGAGATGGGCAACTACTCATAAGCATGACATGCAATGCTGTTCCAGGCTGGTCATTGGACTATACGGCTATACGTATATAGAATAGATGAGAATGGATGTGTTTCTTGACTGAATAGTATTGCCGTTGCAGATGTTATGCTCTTTTGCATGTGACTACGTACGTACTGGTGATTTGTCAACCGCACTGGACCAACAATGCCCAAGCTGCTCCAGGAGGTCCTTTCTCGCAATACTGCTGATGGTTTTAACTTTGAACATGTTTGCGGTGATGAACAAGAGCCCATACCACCCAAGATTGCCCAAACCTTTGCACTTTTCCACATGCATGCATGAGCACCCTGTGTGGGTTCAACTCATCTTTCAAGCCAAGATCCGATATGAACCTTTTTGTGAAGGGCCAGCCATCCAAAGCATGGCCCGAATCCATGATCGGTTAGCCTCTAGGCCTTGATTGAACCATATGGCTGTTTGTGCATTTGACCGCTGGAACTGCCTGTCTTCCTTGATGCAACTCTTCGGTCTTCGTCCGCAGGCGAGCAGTCCACGGCGCCCAGCGACTCACCGGAGCGATCGCCTCCAATGAATGCTGCAGAGCGGGGCGTTTAGGCAGCCGGACAGCCGTTCTGGGAAGGGCAGGAAGGGCGTGAAGCGCGTTCTGGAACACCCAGAACCAAAGCACTGGGCCAGTCGCACTGGGCCAGTCACGCACCACCCGTGGAAGTTGATGTTCCATGATGCAAGGATGTTTCCAAATTTTGGGTGAAAGAAGGTGGAGCAAGCATGTGAAAAGAGTCTTTTGTGAGATTGACCACTTGACCACGCTTCTCCTGACATTTTGCATGTGCCTGTTTTGTTAGTGCATGCCGACATGCAAGCACACAAAAGCTGGCAAGAATCAAGTTTTCAGGGCCTGGTTCACCATGAAGCTTAATCAAAAGTGCTGGCGTCCTACACTAGCTATATTAAAATTTGAACTACCACCATCATTTGACACGACTTTTGCCAGGAACGGTGCCTGGCAGGCACTTCCAGCCGGCCTCGCGCCTCGTGCGGCCAAGAGACAAAAAAGGTCCATATAAAAAGTGATCCCTGAAGAGAGAGTGGCACGGTTTCCTATACACTTTTAGTGGGAATCTACTTATTACTAATCTATTCTATCTATTTGGGGTTCATGGGGTTCTCTATGTAGGAAAACAGCGGTCCAAACCTTTCAGGATCAAGGAGCTTCTGGGAACATCACTGGCGAAGCATATGCTTCGCATATGCTTCGCCATGTGCAAGTGTTTGGACTGAGCCCATTTTCTGGGTTTTGTACCCAATCTTTGGCGGTGCAACGCAAACACTGGCATGCTTTTGGGAGGCGATTGATGATTCTTCAGAGGTGGTTGAAGGCTGCATGATTTGGGGCAGAATCAAGTAGCCAAATGCAGATGCATGTATAGTCATTTAAAGTGATGGTTATGGGCATTGGACAGGGACATGCCGAGACGATACAGAAGCTTTAGAATATTTAAAGTCTTCATTCCCACTACACGATTCACACTTCATGTTGGAATATTGGATGCTCGGCTGACGCTTCCCACATATCATGTTAAGCCCGCCTTAGGCGACGCGCGCGCCCTGGATGATGGTTGCTGGTGTCTACATCATTTGGAGCTGTCCAGCCAGCCATGAGGGCAGTGTGAGATAGGAGTTGGAAGTCTGAACATATGCAACTTGCAAAACTTGCAACAGGGCAGTATAAGCGGACATGTATGGAATCTCCTGATTCAAGATGCATCGGAAACTGGGGAAACCATACTCATACCTGATTTGTTGTTTGCAACTGTTTCAGAAACTTTGAGCATCACTTCGGCACAGTGAGACAGGTTGCATTGGTAGATCGCAGCCATTCTCAGGATCGACTGTGCCTGCGCACAAGGCACTCGGCCGTTTTTGCGCAGTGACACTAGTCACTAGTAATAGACGTGCTGGCCAAAACAAACAAAATATATTATACTACTATATATATATATATAAGAGCCCCTCAGGCCCTCAGGAGTCACAGACCAAAAAGGATGTCCAGTCGCTGCTGGCCAGCGCGGTTTGCAGACCGTTTTTGGCAAGTCTGGAAGGAGGATAGAGATTTGTGTGAATCTCAGCGATGCAATCCGGTCCAGCTTGGCACCGTGACAGCTGAATGACGTCGAAAGAATGATGAGGCGCATCGCCCGTCCAGAAGGCAGAATTGATCATCTTGAAAGGCTTGAAAGGTCTCTTATCAATAGTCACATCAGAATATCATACCCTACTAACCCTACGGCCCTATGGCCCTAAGTGGAGCATCGTGGAACATCGGGGCAGTTTTGCTGTGGAACATAGGGTTTGGAAGGACGACCAGTAGTGCAACCCGTTTGCTCACAGTGCAGCCAATATCCCGCACACTGACCGCAGCATTGGGCGCTGACCTGGAAACGAACTCCTTCGCTGAAAGGTCGGCATCTCTATCCTCTAGACTCTAAACGCTATTCTTGAGTCCGCTGGAGCTCACGGGGTTATTTCCCAAACCTACGCCACCAACTTGGCGCTCAGAGTTGCTGGAAAGCGCGACCTGACTCAGCATGACTAGCACAGGAAGGAGACCGGAGCATTCTAGAAGAAAGCTGGCCACAAGTCTTTGACGAAACTAGCCACCCCTGAATCTGCACACCCATTGGAGGCCCATCGGAAGTGTTGCAGTGGCGTGACCAGCAATTCTGAGAGGTTCCTGTCCATCTTCATTGCAGGACGATCTAATTCTTGGTAGTTTGGCTGTTTGTGCGGGCCAATCCCATCATTCTATCATCCATGTTGGGGAACGATTGGAGGTCGGTGGGAACAGCGCGACCTGGGTCCTGCAGGCATTTCTGCGGCCGCCCCTTCCGGGTCCGCGGCGACGCTGGCACCCAGTCGTTCCGGTCTAGGGACAAAAGCGCCACCCGGTTGCGACCCTAGGACCAAGCCAGCTTTGCTCCGTGTTCCAGGTTTGAAGTCATGTGAATCACCCGAAAGGCTCATGAAATCTCATGAATAGCGGCATCATCATTTGCGTCCCCAAAACTCAAAGGCTCATGTCTTGGCTGTTCTTTTTGGGGCGATGTGAGTTGGGCAACCTGGAAGCCATGAGAAGCCATGAGACTCCAGTCCGCCACGCGGCCAAACGAAGTGTTGAGCCACGGGGAGAGGGAAGAGGAGACTGAAAGAACATGGCAGCAGGCAGAAAACAAACTGGCGGCCGCGGCGGCCTCGATGAAAGCTGGCCTGAGAGAGCCAGAGAAAGAGACTTTGTAAGTAGCCAATCAGCTGCGAATTTCGCCCTGGTTTCATCTACAGTGTGCAGGCAGTGCCTGCAAGTGGGTTTGAAGGAGTTCGTAGACTATTTGCTGAATAACGACCAGCGGAAGTTCATCTCAGGGTTAGAGGAATATCCTGAATATCCTTGATAAATGGCCAAACCTATACTCTTCAGATTCAGAGTTCCCGGCAATTCTTGGGTCAACCCCACACCGGGCTGCCAGGCCTGGACACTGAATCTCATTCCGGACCTTTCCCAGCTATGTATGTCCAGATTCCAGATGCCTTGGCTGCCTTGTTTTTTTCGTGAATCGCTTGCAGGACTTGCAGAGGAAGGCTCGCCCAAGTCCAAGACAAAGGTGCGGTTCCGATCATCTTTCACCGAGAAAGATGGGGGGAACTGGGGCCCAAACATGCCCAACAAGTTTTCAACCACTTCCTGTAATGTAGAAAACTCCCCTTTGAAGATCCTTGACAAGGTTTTACAATCCAAGTGGGCAGGTTTTACTATATATCATTAACATTCTACTCGTCCATCATAGATTGAGGGGCTGTTGGATTCTTCCAGCCACCCAGACTGGGCACCTGTGTTGGTCTGGAGACTGGGCACCTGACCAGATATCGACGCCGAAACCTGGCGAGCTCGTGGTTGCCAGTTCAGGGGCCCCCCCCGTCCCCAACCTGAGACGAAAGGAAGCGAGGATGGACGGAGGATGGAAGTCCTTCGAACCCCTTGGGCTCGGCTCTTTTGGAGGCTAGACCCAGACAGCGGCACACGGCCCGAATATCAAGCCACCTAGAGCATATCAAGGTATCTTTCAAGATCAAGGAGCTCATGTATATAATTAGAACTAGGAATGGGTTTGAGCCATGAGCTGTCCTGCCCGAGGGTGATGTTGGGGGAAGAATGAACTCAGCCAAGCTGAGATATGCCAGGCCAGCACTACAACCACTGGCCCAAGCAACTCAGCTGGAAGTGGAATGACGGCCTGAACAGCTGATGTGTTTGGTTTTGAGCCTGCTTTGAGACAAATTAAGCAGCCTGGTTTATAGAAGGAAACCGCACCAGCACCTTGGCCAACGAAGGCCAAACTCACGGCTGTGAATGTGTGAAGGTATGGGATGCTGCTCTCTCATGTATGATCCACACGTTTCCCGATCTGTTTTTGGGCTTAGGCAGCTTGTCTATACTATAGTGATGGATTTATCAAAGGAATTTTCCCCCCACTAGTGAGGGTCTCTAGTTTTTATGTCATGTCAGTGTTTCCCACCTCCGCCATCGCCGATTTCCACGCAAACCGGTCCCGGTCACGACCGGGACCTCTGGGGCGCACGACGGCTGGTCGGACATCGAAACAACACTTTGTCGGAAAGGATGGTGGGATGTTGTGACAGAATGTCAGAGCACATGTCAAAATGGGTGGTTTAACGGTTTAACACATGTCAGAACAACTGGTGGATGTGACGGCAGCACAAGTGTCGGAACACATGGCAGAACTAATGCGGCAGAACACATGTTAGAACAGAAGTTGGACCATAAGAGCATATATAACGTCATATATTATGTTAAAACATATTAGAACACTTGTGGCCCGCAATCTTCCAAATCGCCTCCAAGGGTGGGGATGACTCGATAAAAGGTGATTGGTTGGCGAGTGTCGAGCTGTGTTCCCATAAATAGTGCTTCGGCTCGGGAAGGCACCATTGCGAAAACTAGTTATTTTGGTTTGCCACAGATGCTGCGATTCGCGAAAGTGTGGGGCCTCCCCCACGGTCCAAAAGGCACCGCTCAGTTGGGATCATTCTTTGGGTAGTGCACGCAATTATGCCTCAAAGAAGTTCATACGAAGGGTTAGTTCCTTGGACCTGTGGCCTGAGGTGTTGCCGTCCAGGAAGGCCCCACACTGGTGTATTGTTAGCTCAGGTTTCTTGCCACATATCGACAAGGTCAGCAAAGGCACGGATCTTGGGCCAGGAAAATTGGTGGCGGTGAAATGGCAGCCACTGTGAAATAGTTTTGGCATGTTTTGTTCCAGACTCCAGATTTAAGTTGACGACTTAGTTTCGATAGAACAGCACCTTCAAAAAGCATCTGACAAAAAACATGCCCAAATCTCCCATGTTGACCTGGCGCTTGAGAACGCAGAGGTGGCGTTGCTGGAGGAGAGCGTTGCCAGTGGGCTGGGTTTAGGGTTGGCTGGGAAGGGTATACTCTTGGGCCAAGCGGCAAAGAGGGAAGAAACAGGGCACCAGGCTGATTGGTTTTCTTGGGAAACAGGGCACTGGTTCCAGTCCATGTTTGCGCACGAAGAAGCTCGATCGATCGGATCGATGGACGACCGCGCTCCGCATCGCCCACGGTTTTAATTGACCCCAGCAGGTCGCGCAAGGCGACTCAGCGAAAGGTTCGAGGCACAAGACATGCAAGAGGATATGGAGTCTATTGAATAGATGGAACAACTCCATAGCAGCAATATAGACTTGAAGTACAGACCCCTTTCGAAAGTGGATGTGGACTCCTGGCAGCTAGCTAGGATGGCGCATGCCTGAGTGGCGGCAGAAGGCAGGATTATAGCACCGGAGATTTGGAACTCCATCAAGGCGGAAAGCGTAGGCGGATCCCCACAAAGATGGCTAAACAGCATGTTCTCGTTGATTCTCGTAAGGTTTCTCTCAAGAAGTGCCAGATCATCCTGGAAGTCCAAACACTATATTAATGTTGCTCCACTGAAGTAAAGGAAATTCCCTTCCGGGCAACAAAAAGACAACTTTAAGAATAGTCTTGGACTTCCAGAAAGTACAATAGATGTTCATGAAGACTCCTTCAGTCTCTTGCAGACACCGGAAAGCGATGTGTGCTCCCAACCGATGACCGATCGAATTGTAGATGAAACGTCACTTGGTGTGAAGCATCATAACTGTCATGTTCCAAGTTTTACCAGCTCCATTGAGAGGATGTAGCTGCTCATGATTGCGCCTCAAACATCCGCGCACTTCATGTCATGGGTCTCTTTTTGCTTCGCGAACTAAATCTGTTTCTTAACCAGGCTTTGCTACTATGCATAGTCATATTATGTCATATTGCACCCATCAGCTGGATTCAGCTTTGACATGTGTTTGTCTTGCCGGAAGCTGACATCAGGCTGCCGCTTGACCGGATAGTCGGTCTTCCTGAGTCACGTCGGGTTTGCGTGAAGGATGCCATCCACGTATGACAGAATCATTGAAGAAACATGTTGCACTTCAAAGACATTGCATTTTCCAATTCTCTACAAACAGGCCGTTGTTTCGTGTGTGTTTCTACTTTCATGTTAGTCAGTCGAAAGGTATTGTGTGTCTTGTAAGTCCTTTGACTTTTTTCAATTCCTTTCAGAGTTGAAGTAATTTGATGACTCAGCCAGTTCTGACACTTCTGATCTCCAAGA